CACCGAAACCCCAAAACTCCGAAAACCACCAAAAACCACCGTAAAGCCCGGAACCCCGAAACCTCTGAGGCGAAGTCGACCAGGAATCTGCAGAAGGGGCGGCGCATCGAAGAGCTCTCCGAGGCGAAGCTAACTGAGACTTTAGGGTTGAGGGCTTAGGGGGTTTAGGGCTTAGGGTTTAGGGTTTAGGGCTTAGGGCTTAGGGTTTAGGGTTTAGGGTTTAGGGCCTAGGGGGTTTAGGGCTTAGGGTTTAGGGTTTAGACTTTAGGGTTTAGGGCTTAGGGGGTTTAGGCTTTAGGGTTTAGGGTTTTCGGTTTAGGGCCTAATACCTAGGGTTTAGGGTTTAGGGTTTAGAGCTTTCCGAGGCGAAGCTAACTGAGACGGACACGGAACGGCTCATCTTCTTCGAGATCCTCAGCTGGGCTTTCTGGGTTTAGGGGACTAAGTGGTGGGTGGTCGGTATCGGTTGTTGCAAGTCTTTCCCGGTAGAGTCGCTGCAGACCGGACGCAAAAAGGGGACTCGGACTAGGTGTTTAGGGTTTAATTACAGGGGCAACAGGGAATTAGGTGTTTAGGGGATTGGGGTTTTTGAGGGTCATAGGGCTTTCTGAGGGTTTAGAGGATTCGGGTTTAGGGTCCTCAGCCGGGGTTTCTGGGTTTAGGGGATTTGTTAGGTGTTGAGGTGTTTAAGTAGGGGATCAGGGTTTAGGGGCTTAGGGGAGTAAGAGTTTCTGGGTGTAGGATGATTAGGGTTGAGATTCTCAGCCCTTGGGCGTTATGGCTTTTTGGTTGAGGTTTGGGGAGTTTGGCCTTCGGGTTGAGGGTTTTCAGGCTTTTCGGCTTTAGGGTTTAGGTTTTGCGGTTTCGGCCCACCTAAGCCCCAGACCCTAAATCCTAGCACACTGGATTTGGGTTTCATTGTTGGATTGTGGTCACGAGTCGTTTGTACGGGTGTTTCTTAGGCCGTGCCGTTTCTATGAAGGGTTCCATTGTGTATGATCCAAGAGTCACGGAATCTCACCTTAAGCCCTGAGCCCCAAGCCCTATAAACCTTCTCAAACCCAGTAAAAGAGCCTATAACCCTAAACCCTAAACCCCTGAACCCTGAACCCTGAACCCTAATCCCTAAACCCTCCTAAGGAATCTCTTCTACCTCTTGGACTCCGACTCCAATGGTTTGATTACCGCTGAGGATGCCGCCACCATGTGCCCTGGCCTGGCGTCTGGCGGAGACCTTTTGGGGTTTCCTTTTGGGGGATCCTGCCGTTTTTGAGGGGATTTGGAGGGGTTTTGGTTTATATAGGGCTTGTAAAGGGCTGCCGTTTTTGAGGGATTTTGAGGGTTTTGGTTTATATAGGGCTTTTAAAGGGCTTTAGAGCTTTAGTGTTTTCGGGTTGAGGGTTTAGGGTGTTTAGCTTCAGGGTTACGGTTTAGGGGCTTATGCCAGACATCTGTGGACCATCCAAGCGAGAAGCATGCCGAGAGAACGTGTGTTTTTGTTTTGGCCGTTGGGGCTTGTTTGCTGTTGTGCTCTGCAGCTCCGCACCAACAGCCAAGAAAACGTTCTTAATTACCGAACACAAAGATGCTTAACAAGGTGATCTACAACATAAACAAAATTTAAGCATTGCGCCGTTTGCGCACTGCTCTTGCCAACTTGTACAACAATTCTATACCACAGCATGGCTACGTAACTCAACTGGGGAATGCAGTGCCTGTACTGGTGCACTTTTCATGGCCCGATTAATGGCAGGGCTACCCACACCCTACAAACCTTATGAAGTAGTTCATGTGGCGTCTGCCGGATAACCCCTCGGCACAACAGATGCTGATTCGATTGGCATTTTATACGCAAGAAGCTACAGCTACAAGCTACAGAGACTGACCGCGCCCGATCGTAATTTCACAATCTTTCATAAAACCTTGGGGCTTCAAACCCATATATCCTAAACCCTAAACCCTAAACCACGCCCAGCGGAAACAACCGCTTTCCTGACTGCGGGACGGAAAAAGGGTGGTATAAAAAAAAACCCTAAACCCTAAACCCTAGCTACCCCTTTGAGGTTGAGCTTCGTAAACCTGAGCCTGTCGCGGGGCGTCCTCGAGGACATCCTGCAATCGGCCTGGCAGGAGAAGAAATGGCTAGGGAATAAAGGCGTGGACGGTTTCCATATAATTACTGGCTTCTTGAAGGGCTTCGTAAGTCGCAAGGGTTTTCAGGGTTCCTGTCAAGTAGGGAGTCCTCACAGGCTTTCTAAGGGTTTGGGTCCAACCTTTAACCGTTCACCCTGAACCCTAAGCATCCATGTTTAGAGCTCCGGGCCCCCGATTTCTGAAAGGAGAAGAAACTTTTTGACTGCCGCGACTTCCTGGAGATTTGCGTCGAGCTGATGTGGACGACACCTTTCAAGGACGGACGAGTTATCTTCAAGCGTTTGTGGGGTCCTTGAAGGGTTCTTTACTGGGTTCGTCACAGGGTCATTGTAAGGGTTCAAACAAAAAGCGTTCTAGGATTCACTGACCTTGACAAGGGTGCCTTAAAGGCTTACTATTTAGGGTTCCATGATGTCGTGACGTACTAAACCCTAAACTGCACCTAGCCCAGAGACCCTACACTCTGTATACATATTGCCTATATCTATATCTATATCTATATCTACATCTATGTATATTACGTACTAACAGGAAACAGCTATTCCCAAGAAAGCACAAGAACTCTTATGTTGAGCATCGGAAACACCCAGCAGTTTACAGGATAAGCCAAACCATAGACCCACAACCCTGGCCTGCCCCTTGCGAGAGCGTAAACCTTGAAACCCTAAAGTCCGAGAAGCCCGAAACCACTAAAAACCCTAAAGCCCCCAAAACCCCCCAACAAAAACCCACAGCTCAAAAGCTGCACAAGCTTAAAACCCGTAGCCCAACCTCCCGCATAAAGAAACCCGAGGACCAAAACCACGACAAAAACCCAAGCCAAAAGAGATCAAAGCCGGAACTGAAAGCCGCATAAGCTCAAACCCAAAACCCCAAAACCCGACAAGCCCAAACTTCCTAAAACCCCCAACTCCCTAAAGCCTACACCCCAAAACTCC